CATTCCTTAGAAATGATAAAATTGTCATTTCTTAGATACGATAAAACAATCGTCCTTAAGGAACGATAATACCATCGTTTTTTAGAAACAATAAAATCGTTATACCTAAGGAATGATAAAATCATCATTCCTTAGATATAATAATACCATCATCTCTAAAAAATGATAAAACCATCATTCCTAAGGAATGATAATATCATCGTTCCTTAGAAATGATAAAACCATCATTCCTAAGGAATGATAATATCATCGTTCCTTAGAAATGATAAAATTGTCATTTCTTAGATACGATAAAACAATCGTCTTTAAGGAATGATAATATCATCATTTTTTAGGAACAATAAAATTGTTATACCTAAGGAATGATAAAATCATCATTCCTTAGATATAATAATACCATCATCCCTAAGGAATGATAAAACCATCATTCCTAAGGAATGATAAAACCATCATTCCTAAGGAATGATAAAATCATCGTTCCTAAGGAATGATAAAATCGTCATTCTTTAGATACGATAAAACTATTATCCCTAAGGAACGATAATACCATCATCTTTAAAGAATAATAAAATCGTTATTCCTTAAATACAATAAAACAATCGTCCCTAAGGAATGATAATATCATCATTTCTTAGGAATGATAAAATCGTCGTACTTAAGGAATGATAATACCATTGTTTTTTAGGTATGATAAAATAATCATTCTTTAGAAAGGATAAATGCATCGTACCTAAGGAATGATAAAATCGTTGTACTTAAGAAATGATAATACCATCATTCCTTAGATATGATAATATTATCGTCCCTAAAGAACAATAAATGCATTATTCCTTAGGAACGATAATACCATTGTCCCTAAGGAATGATAAAACTATTGTACCTAAGAAATAATAATACCATCATATCTTAGGTACGATAAAATTGTCATACCTAAAGTATATTAATACTATCGTTCCTTAGGTACGATAATACTATCGTTCCTAAGGAATGATTATACCTATTGTACCTAAGGAACAATACAATCATTCCAATCAGATGTCAATCAGTTATAAATAAGATAGGTCGAATTTTGATATATACCAATTGGCTATAAATAATATAGGTCGAATTTTGGCTGATTCTTGGCTGATTTCTGATGTATGCCAATCAGCTAGGCTAATTTGCCAATTTTAGGCTGATTTTCACATGTCTGATATTTTTGATTTTGACCAATGATATTGTAAGATAATAAAATATAATATAAGAAAGAGAAAAGAGAAATTTACTTTAATTAAAGATTCTTACTTCAGCTGTTTTATAATATCTGTCAAATTAATTTTTATTTTTTCATTATTATTAAATATAGAATCATTACTAATAAAAAAGGAAGTAAAGCTAAAATTAAAAGAATATCACCGATTTAATTAGCATTTATATTTTTATATATAACTTTTTTTGAAAGGATTTGTATAAATAATTATATAGTATTTTATATGTATTACTAATCTGAATACTATATATATTGTTTGAAGTCTGTAATACATATTTTAATATGAATAAAATTTTGTGATTAAAAAATAAGATTAAATTTGAATGTTTATTCATAAAATTAAGATTACAAAAATTTTACTATGTTTAATAAGCTTTACCCATTAATAAAAAAATGTTTAGTTAAATATTTTATAATAAAAATAATATATTTTAATTAAAAAAGTAAGAAATAAAAAGTATAAAGTTAAATTAATATAAAGAAAAGTTAACTTTCTAATTTTTTAATATTTAAATTTGTATTTAAATCCAGATTAACAGAGAAAAAGAATACTTATATTTTAATTTTCAAGTATATAATTTCTTAATTAAAAGCATTTAAGAATAAAGAAATTTTAAAAATTATTTATTAAAACTTGTATTATTCAAAAAAACTTTTTACAATTCTTTTCATTGGAGACTGTATATCTGTTATTTTGTAAATAAATCTTCTTTTTAAAATTATTTAATTCTATTTTTTTATAATTTTAGAATATAAAGTATCTTGATCTCCAGTTTCTCTTATTACATTTAGAATGTATTTGATCTAAAGTAGAATAAATTTTTAATATATCAGTATCAAGATTAAGTGTAATAAGAAGTCAAATATAATAACCTGTTTTAGATCAACTTGGATCTCAAACTTGTTCTTTATAAATTCATTTGTAAATATTAGAAAATATCTAAATAAAAAAACTCAATATCAAAAAAATAGTATAAAAATAATCTATTTGTTTTAATTTACTTTTCTTATCAAGTAAATTGATTTTTATACATATATTTTTCTCTTTGTTTATAATATTTAGAAAAGGTTTATTATTTTTGACCTTTTATTAGCTTTTGAAAAAGATAAAAGATTAAATTCTATTCTAACTTATATATGAAAACAATTCAAGCCCTAAAACTTTAAAACTCTAATCCTATTACTATTATAGAAAGTAAGCAATCTTGTTCATTAAGTATAGTATTATCAACAAGCAAACAACTTTCTTAATGCAAGTAAGCAGTCTGTATGATAATTTGATGAGATACAGATAATAAAATCATGCAGTTATCAACAGGTAAGCAATCTTTTCTGACATAAGCAAGCAATTTATATGATAGTTGATAAGGTACATATAATGATAAAGAACATAATATACTTGTCAAGAAATCTTATCTTCACTTTATCAGCTTCTGTATTGCTTCTGATATTTTGATATAATGTTTACCGATGATATTACTGTTTCATCGCTTTTCAAATGAAAATTTAGATAATGTTTTAATTATCAGTATTTAGTCTCTGATCTTATATTTTGAGTATTTTCTAGATCTAATATAGAAGTCATAATTAAAGAATTAATACAAAGATAATTCAAATTTCTATGTAAAAAATTATTAACCGATGCGATTTGCATCAATCACGTTATCCGTGACAGATAAGAAAGAAAGCTACCCCAGTATTACCACCAAGTTTTTTTTGGCCGGCATTACGGCATTAAGAAATCAACCATGTGATGAATAAAAAGTGACAAATATGATTTCGCATCCCAAGTTCCCAGAATACTTATGAAAATGGAAATGACAAATATTTCTATGATCACGTGGGGTGAAAAACTTGGTGGTAATACTGGGGAAGCTCCGATCAGAAATAACAATGTGCAAATTAATAAAATATGCGATAATTTAAAAATTATGTTTAAATTTTAAAATTTTAGGTAAAATTATTAAATATAAAAATAATTCTCTATTTATTTTTGGTTATAATATAAAAAGTTAAGCATTGAAATAGATTTTTTCAGAAAGTCGCATTCTTTTTTCACTTTATAATTAGAAAAACAGCGCTTTATATCTACTCCGGCTACTGGTAACCAAATATAAATAAATGCTATTTTTGAAAAATTTGGCAATATTAAACTTTTTTCTTTCCAATATTTATCTAAATCCAATTCTCCTTCTTTTATTATTTCTTTTAATCTACTCTAAATACTCCATTCATTTGTAGGATTTTGAAATTCAATTAAATGGTATATATTTGCGTTGAATTTACTCTTTCTACTCCGTTACCATTATCAAAAAAAAGGCGACGATAATTATTTATGATTTTGATCAGCCAATCATATTTGCATGCATATTTTATGTGAGTTTCTATAAAATATGAGACACATAACATATGTGAAAAAAATTCTTAAAATATGCGCATATATTTGCGTCACATATTCCTGGACACTTTAGATTCTATATGTTTGCTTGTGTTTTACTCTTCGATAACAATGCCGAAGATACTCTTGGTCTTGGTACCTTGGAGAAGCCATAACTCTAGTCAATTGGTGAAGTTATGAGTCAGTTGTCTCCAGCCTCAACCAATGTTAAAAAAAATATATATATTGTTAATAGCATATACTTATCACACTTATCACACCACAAATGGTTAATAAGCGAGATATATGACATGCATGCTTTCAAGGGAGGGAGTACGCGGATCCTAAGCCATTTAATGCGAGACCTTGCGTCATATTATTTCTTTGTTTCTATCGCTAATATTGCTAACTATAAGATTCTCACATTCCCCTTCTATAAATCTCGGATGTCAGAACATAACAAACTATCCGAATCATAATACTAAAAGAGTGATTTTTTTATCATAGGTCATACAAACAGAGAGCAACAAACCAATTTTATATAATGTGGATTTGATTCCTTAAAAAAAAGTACTGTACCATACTTATCATTAAACTGCTATTTGATTAATAAAACTATTGATGTTGTTAGAATATTCTTCGGACAATTATGATAAATCTCTTATCAGAAATTTAATTTTTCAATGCATGCTTTCACACTCTCTTTTCAAAGAGAACCGTTTCCTTTCAAAGGTATAATAACGATAAAATTTATTTAATTTTTTTCATTGATACGCAGCTTAAGTCGAGATCTGGGAAATATTTTTTTTATAATATATATGTTTTAAAATCTTTTTGTCAATGATGAAATTGGACCACTCCAATTTGAACATTTGGAATAAGTTCACATTTTTCAGTATCTTTTTAGATAATGATGTTACTGTTGCGAAAATTCCTAATTTGCCTTATCCTGCTACTGACAAAAATGCTAGCTATATGACAAATATGACGTTATTAAAGAAATTATTTGTCTAAATTTATAATTATTAATTTTAATAAAAAAAATTCGGCAATTTGGATAAAGTCCATTAGTCCAAAAGACAATCATTGCTTTTTATAATAAAGGGCAAATTAGTTAGTATAAAAAGAAGAAATTAACCTTGCAACTTGCTAAGGATTTTCGACTTTCGCATGGTTACTAGGAAATCTGGATTTGAAATACAAATTAAATCTTATTATCAATAAATTCCCATATGTTTAATTTAAAATCGTTACGATTTGGGATTGGTCGAATAATTAATTAAGTTTGAAGATCCCCCTTAATAGTAATTTATATATAAATGTATCGTATTATTTAAAAGAATTTAAATTTTTTTTTTTTTGGAATTTTCACAAATGAATTTAACTATAGTTAATTTTCGTGACGTTGGAGGATCTCTAGCAGAATCCAATCAGGATAATAAAAGGTACATCAGAAAAAAAAATTTTTTTTTTTTTTTTTGAATATTGGTTTAGTAAGAATTGTTATGAAAACGGGTTAATTTATTTCGTATTATAGTGTAATTAAAAAGGGCGTATTGTTTCGAAGTGGTGAACCGGGTAAGCAATCTTATCATATATGCATCAAAGGTGCGATATCGTAATTAATTTTTATCGGTGAAACCTTTATATAGATGATGCATCGGACAAAGATATTGAGCAGTTTTTGAAACTCGATATTCAAACAATAATTGATTTACGATCTAGGTTGGGTACAAATTTTTTTTTATTGCGTCATCACGTGATCTAGCATTGAACTCGATTCTTATTTTGATTTGAATTAGTTCCTACGAGAAATTGAAACCTGAAATTTTGGAAATTAAGTATCCTCGTTCCTCTTATCCGTTCAATGTAAATAAAAAATTTTTTATTTTCGATATCATGCTTCATAACTTGAAACTAATCATCATCTTCTTCATTTATTAGGATGATGAAAGACATCGTAAGACTGTTAACATTAGTTTTGCAGGGAGAAACCTTTATAAGTATTTAATTGCGGCAGCCCCATGGTCGATTAAATTGTAATAACTTTTACTAAAGTCATTAATGTTTCTTTAAAGATATATCTTTTATATTAACTATACATTATTTTGTTTAGAAAAATCATTGGATACTTTTTAATTTGTAGAAAATTAAATGCTGCGAGATCCATGGCACAATATATGGCCCCAAGGGGATTAGTGGGGATGTATAGAGATTTTGTTGAATGCTGTCATGATCAAATTTGTCAGGTATAAAAAATTCATTTTTTTTAAAAAAAATTATGTAATTTATTTTTTTAACATTTTTTTTTTTGCATAAAAAAAAAAAGATCCTTGATATCATGTCGGATAAAAGAAATTTACCACTGTTGATACATTGTAGGCATGGAAAAGATCGTACGGGTGTTTCAATTGGTAACTAACAAAAATGATATTTTTTTAAGAAAAATTTATATTTTATATCTAAAATTTTATTTATTCCATTAATTTAGCAATTGCACTTGCATTATGTGGAGTGGACGATGAAACCATCGTAAAAGAATATTCATTATCACAAAAAGGCATAAAATCATTATATTCGGAAATTGTTAAAGATTTTGAAAGAGTTGGTTTACCTGAAGAATTTGCTGAAGTATCTCCTGCTGTATGTACCTTTTTTTTTTTTTTTTCCTTCAATTAAATTAAATTTTTTACTCAATTTTTTTTTTTTTTTATCCTTCAGGCTATGAGAAATTTATTAAAGCATATTAAAAGAAAATATGGAAATATATCAAGTTATTTAACGACAATTGGATTTCCTGTTGAAAAACAAAATCTTGTAAAACGAAATTTAATGGTTAAATCCGAATAATTTTATAATTGTAGAATGAAACATATCCCTAATTATTAGTAATAATTAATAGTATATAAAATAATATCTAATTTATTAAATTATAATTTACAAATTTACAATTTTGAGTTAATGGGAATATTATGCGGCGAATGTTTCGGGAAATATACCTACTACCCAAATCACTATTGGCGGATGATGGGGAATTTGAGAAAGTTATTATCTCATGAGACTCCTATTATAATTCAAATGCCAATAATGGATTGTAATAATATTGTGAAAACTAATTTCCAATTGTGTGCCAAGGGATGTCGTGCCAAAGAAATTGACATAATCATTGGCTTCAAATGTTGCTAGTTTGAATAAAAAAAACGGGGTTAATCAAACAAACAATTTCTTCCATGTATGAATACAACCCTTGGTGAAACGGTCGAGCAGATTAGTTAGTTTTCCTCTACAATACATAATTTCTCTACTATAAGTCCATCTTCCTTTGATGGTAATTTTGATGACACCCAATCGATGTCTGTTAATTGTGATATATCATCACCTTTATATTTAGGAATATACTATAAAATAGCAACCCTTCGTTAAAATATAACTTTCATTAGGGAGATATTTTAAAAAAAGTTCATTACTAACTGCTTTGATTTTGTTATAAAGTTCTTCTCTCGAAGAATATTCTCTTTGTAAATATCCCGTTTCAAATTCATGATAAACTCTTGTATCATTCATCCTAAATAACACTTCATCGACCCTAAGAAAGAATCGTTGAAGTATAAAAAATCCCGATGGCATTACACGCTATATAATTTAAACAAAAAAAGATTTAAATCGGGAAAACAGTAAAGATTGAAGTACCTTTTCATATTTGAAACTTACAATTTTTACATTTAGCATTGCTGTCCCATTATCAGCTAATTCATCTTCAAATAAAATCATTTCATCATAAAATAAAATATCTTCTACTTTTTTCAGTTTTTCTATATCAATTCTATCTGTCGATTTTTCAAATACCTAGAAGGTCCCATCATGTGATGATAATAAAATCAATAACCATCCTTGAGGTTTGGCAAAGTTATTTTCAACTCACATGTTTGTTGACGGTTCCTTTTAATGTCCCAGAGTATGAAGTAGTATATGTCCAATCATATGGTTTAATCACATCTTTAATGTGTTCATGATTCTTTGCGCTTTTATTATAAAAAAAATAAAAAAAGTAAAAAATAAAATTTATTTTTATCAATTCAAATAATCATTTTTACCTTTTCCTTTTCCATTCTTCGGAATAGGAAACTTTTACTTTTTCACCACCTTCTGCTGTAGTATCAACCATCTTTAATGCATCCAAAGGTGAGAATTCGAGTAAAATACCGTGTTCATTGATTATTTGTAATGAATTATTTCCAAAAAACATTTCAGGTAATGGAATTGTTATTTCCTTTTGTACTCTAAATATTTAATTGTAGAAATAAATAATTAACTAATTATCAAAATAAAAATAATTTTCAAATGGTATATATAAACATTTACTCTTCAATTTTCTGAGAATTAAGAATTGGTAATTTAGTTGTTGTAATTGTCCACCCATGAATTTTAATTCCTTGTTGTGAACCTTCTTGAAATTTTTCGTGTTTTGGTAGATACATCATCAAGAAATGAGATCCGCCAATCATTCATACGAGTACTCATTCAGGGACGCGGAAAAATTTGGCAAATCTGCCGGCTGTTTACCCTTAAAACGAATTACCATTAAAAAATTAATTTAGATCAAATACCTTGATTATTTTCTAAACAATTTATTAGAAGAATTAGCTAATTCTTTAATAAAACTATATGGGACCTTAGGCCAAAATGTTTAGATTTAGCATTAACTCATTTTATATTTTTCCTGATAGTTTTTCCTTTTTTTATTGCAAAAATCCTATATTAAAATAAATAAATTTTTTATAAAATAAAATATTATTTAGAATTAAAAATCTGAAAAAGAAATTATGAAAATGTAAAGAAGTATGCAAATTAAATTTATGATTAATTTTTATAATTTATATATTTATAATCTTGTAGTTTAATTTAAGTTTATCTTAATAAAAATTAAATTAATATATTTTTTTATAATCAAAATTTTGATAATGATTTGATATTAAAGTTAAATTTAGAAAATAACAATATAATTATCAAAAGAAAAATTTTTAAATATATTATTATTATAAAATAACAAATATATTAAAAGATGTTATATAAATGAAAAAGTATTATTAAAATAAATAATATATTGAAACAATTAGATATTTATAATTACTATTTTAATTATAATCAAAAATCTTTATAAATTAGATTTTAACAATTAAAAGATATAAGTCAAAGTATATTTCATTAATAAAAATTATTATTATTTTATATAGGATTTAAAATATAAAAAGCATTATAAAAAGTATTTAAAAAATATTTAAGTAATTTATAATAATTAATATAATTGTAATATATTAAAATTATATAATTCTATTTGTATATATATTTTTAAAATTAAATATTCTTAATACAGTCAACCTCTCTAAATGCACAAACTATATATTTTCTCTCTAAATGCACGCTCTTGTTCAGTCCCAAACATATAGAATTCATATAAAAATTTTCTCTTTAAATGCACATCCTCTTTAAATGCACATTTTTTAAAATTTTCACTATGATTCTGAGAGGATGCATTTAGAGAGGGTTGACTGTATATATATATTATAATTATTAAAAATGTAAAAGAGATTATTTATATTAAATTAAAAAAAGTGTTAAAATATTATTATTAAAAATAATAAGAAAATTATTAAATAGTTACTTATAACAATTTTATTAAATAATATAATTTTTTAAATTTAAAAATTAATCAAATTTAATAATATAAATAATAAAAATAATAAAAAAATAATTTAAGTACTATAATAAACTATTTTGATTATAATCTTTTATATAATAAAAATAAATTAATCTATTTATTTTAAGAAGAATTAGAAAAATACAGAAATTAGAAAATTGATCAAAAAAATAAAAGTTATAAAAAATATTATTATAATATGATATAAAATTATAATTATAATTTATTTTAAATTATTTAAGCTAACATAATATAATTATATTATTATTTAAATAAAATTTATTAAAATACTAATTATTTATTTTTAAATGATAATAATTATATTTAATAATAATTTTACTTAAGAAATAGTAAATTATAATATTATTAATTCTATTATAATATCAATAAATTAAATACTATTAGAATAAAAATTTAATAAAAAATTTTATTTTAATAGTTAAATCTTTTTAAATCTTTTAATTATATTAAATTTTAAATTTTAAATTTTTAGTAATATAAATTATATATCTTATTTATTTAATAAATATATAAATTTTAAAATTATTTAATTAAATTATGATTATATTATTAATATACTATATGATGCATTTTTTTTATAAAAGATTATTATTATAAATTAAATTTATTTTTAAGTTTTAATAATTTTGTAATTTTATAATGATTAAATATTTATTAATATTAATTATTTAATAAATTAATAAAAATTTTTTATTTATTTTAAAATATAAAATCAATATATAATAAAATCAAAAAAATCATTAATATGTTAAGAATATATATTTATAATATTTTAATTACAAGTTTCTTTATTGATTATAAATTATTTTATATGATTTTATTAAATAAAAAGGGTAATAAAATATAAAAACTTAGAGACATATCAGAAATCAGTTGATATTTCTCAATTAGTATGCTCTACTTTTTATTTCACCTATTTTCTTTCTTCCTTTAAGTATGAAATCCAATTATCAAATTTTTGAATTGGTAACAATCAGGCTTATTTTTTTTACTGGATGGGTCTATTTTAAATTAGTTTAGGGTAGATTAGTCTGAAATGATTTTGATTAGTTTTCTTAAGTAGATAAAATTTTTTGTATACTTTGATTTGTAATTGAAAAAAATTATTTCTAATAATAGAAAGTGGGAAAACTGCAAGGTAAAATCAAATTTACTTTCATGTCAAAACTCTCTTTATTTCACGGTTTTTAAAATAAGTTGTCTATCCACTGATGAACTTTAACAAATTTTTATCAGGAAATCACTTTCCAATAAAAAAATAGACATGACTTATAAAGAAGTAAACAAACAAATAAAAATCACTTATTTAACGTTACGCGAAGAATCGGGATTAAAACCTTGAATATACTCCAATTTGTCATAATAAAATCTGTAAATATCAAAGAAATCTAAATCTAAAATTCTACTAATAAAAGATTTAAAATAAAGAAATCTAATCCATTATAAAATGAGATATCGTGATTGTGTTTTGGAGGTATTTCTATTCTCGTTTATGCATGGTTCATTATGGAAAGAATTTCGAGAATTTACCTTTAAGCTGGTAGGAATTACGTAGGTTTACGTAATACCACGAATGGATAAAATAATAATAATAATAATAATAAAAAAAATGCCAAGAAAAAATAAATAGTAATACTCAATGACGCCCTTTTTGAGGTTTTTCTTTTTCCGGAACTTTCAAATTAAGAACCACGTTAAAGTTAGCACTTATCCTTACTTCATATTTTCTAAAAATAATCAGAAAAAAAAAGTGATTTTTGACATCCGCACCCCGACAATGTGTGTAGCCTTTCTTGCAATAATTTGATATAAATATAGATTCATTCTACATGTAAAATTTTCTTAGACATTTAAATTGTATATATAAGAATTGTATTTCGACCTTAACTGATTAAAATAAATTTTTTTCATCGGAAAGTGATGAATATAATTATTTTAAACTGATCTACTGCTTCTGATGTAACAGGGGTATGATAAAGAAAAAAAAAAATAAATAAAAAAAAAATACGGCTAAGAATTAAATCATTTAAATCATTCTCAAACGTTTCTTCACCATTTGTTCACAATTCATTAATTAAACTAAAACAAATTAGTCACACTTGTTTATTAAACGGATATTAGGTTGCATGTATTTTGGCGATTTTTTCTTTTTTTTACTATAAATGGTATGGATTTTTTTTTTTTTTATTAAAACCCTGGAAAGATGAATATTTGAGATTGGTCACCTTCAAGACTATGATTCTGTGACACCCGACACAACTTGAAAGCGAAAAAACTCATTTTTCAAAACCGATATCTTATGTACCTTATACCAAGAGGTTTTTCTGGGTTAATCACTTTCTTTTTAATTAAATATAATTATAGCCTTCGAATATTTCGTTCCCTCAAAAAAGATCTTTCTCAATCCTGAAAGTAATAAAAATAACGAATATATCAGAATAACTCATCTATAAATAACCCAGACGTTCACCTTTTCCCATCTACTTCGAACCTTTTTCCTTCTTTTAATAAAAAATAAATTTGTATCATTTTTTTTTTTTTTTTATTATCATTAGGTGTATTTCACAACGGCTTGTCACAAGTTGACCTTGTGAAAAAAATATTATCATAATTAAAAATTCTACTTATATATAAACATTTATTTTTATCCCTACTGTATTAGCTATAATGCTTAAAATAAGGACAGAGGGAACCACCAAATCTATTTGGAAAGCCTTAAAGTTTCTTTTTCTAGTTTATATCGCATTCTCAGTTTTATATACAATGAACTATTGTTATGTTGTATATTCAAATAATTACGTATCAAATAATAATATAAAACCTCGAAATAATCTCGGGTTAGATTTTCAAACATCCGAATGGGGCGTTGATAGATTATCGTGGAAATCAAAAAGTGGTAAATTTGAATTCTTTTTTTTTAGAGTAATTTAACGTCAAAATCTGGGATTCTTTAATTTGGAAATTTGATCAACAATTAATTCATTATTCTTCTCTTTAATAGGTGCATATGATTATATGACGGAAGAATTTTTCTTATCCAAAGTATTTTCTGAATCAATGCAACCTTCACACGTAATTCCATATTATTTCCGAGCGGAACAACCCCCAAATGAAGAAGACATAACGATCACAACGCTTATAACAGAAAATCGGTTCCATGTATTTGACAGACTCGTTACAAATTATCAGGGTAAGTAATTAAATGACCTTTATTTTCCTTTTTTTTTTTTTTTTTTTTTTGTGATTCAATCTATTACGAGGACAAAGTATTGAGCGTCTTTTATTTTTTTTTTCCTTACTTTCTTTCATAGGACCAATCTCCGTAACGATACATGTTGCTGATGATGATAAATCTCGCGATGTACTATTAAGCAAACTTCATGAATTGTATAATGGAAATAAATATATGAAACAATATGTTGATGTTCATCTCGTGGTTGATAATTTTGAACGTCAATTCAACATGTGGCGAAATGTCGCAAAATTTTTTGCTCGTACTAATTATGTCATGATGTTGGACGTGGACTTTCACCCTTGTACAGATTTTAGACATTCCATTTTAAATAGTAAAACAATAATGAATAAACTTAGAAAAGGTAATACCGCTTTGGTAGTACCAGCTTTTGAATATGCAGATTTAGACGAAGGCCTTGATTATCGTACCTTCCCAACAAAAAAAAGATGATGCCGTCGGATTAGTTAAATCTGGTCGTCTAGTTATGTTTCATGACTCTTGGAAACCAGGTCACGGTCCATCAAATTATTCTAATTGGTATGAAACTGACGAGCTATACAAAGTTACAACTTATCAATATCAGTATGAACCATATGTAATCTTCCCAAAACAAAGCATATGGTATGAAATGTTTTAATTTTGATTTTGATTCTTTTTTTCTAGTTTATTTATATAATAAATGATTTCTTTTTTCTTTTTTTCAATATATTTAGGTGCGACGAACGATTTGTTGGATATGGTGCAAACAAGGCCGCATGTTTATTTGAATTATACCTTTCAGGAGTAGATTATTGGGTCCTTCCAAAAGATTTTTTAATTCATCAGACACACGAATATTTGGAAGACGCACGTAGACATGAGGTAAATATGATTGTATACACATATATTATTTCTATAATAATAATAATAATTATAATAATAACTTTACAATATCTTATCCCATCAACCTTTACAGCGAAGATTCAATAAAAAGTTATACGAACATTTCCGTGAAGAATTATGTTTTCGATATGCGAGGAATTTTATTTTAAATGGTGAATGGGAAACATTTAAAGCAAGTAATTTAAGATCTACATGTCATAAAATTCGAGGGTTTACACAGGCTATTAAATATTTTGCAAAATTGAAATAATATAAAAAAAAAGGAAGAATGCTATTTTTATCACATATAAATATTTTTTTTTTATCATTTAATGTTTGGTTTGATTTTTCTTTTATCTGTAAATTATGTTTTATCAAGCTAGTTTGAACTTTTCTTTTTTTAAAAAAAAAAATATATTCATTTTTTAGTTTAGTTCTAGATATTTATTTATTTAATCATTAAATGACAGAAAGAAAAAAAGAAAAAAAATAAACTTTTACGGAACCCCGTAGAATGAATTTTTTATAGGGTTTGTATTTTTTTTTTTTCTTTTTTTTTTTCTTTGGCATATTTATACAATTTAGAAATTACATATTAAATTTCCGTGTTTATTCTGTTATAGAAATAACTTTCCCTCATTTTTTTAATTTACATCTGAACAATTAATTAATACCACTCAGTAATAAAAATTTTGAATTGGAGTCACTTGATTACAGATTATTATCACCCTTTATTGTAATTATTTTATTTGTTAAAAATTGATTAATAAATATTTGAATTGTCCAATGGAAATATTGATAAATAAATCAATGATACATGTTACCATTTTATTATGATTATTATTATTTGATATAATAAAATATTTAAGAATATGTTTTGGAAAAAATCTTTTCCTTATTAATCTAAAAAAAAAAATATACCTATTTCCTTTTGATTTATTTTTTTCTTTCGTTTGCTTTCTTTATTAGAATAGTCTATAGGTAAATCTAAAAAAAAGGTCAAATACATTCTATTAAATTTTGAATTGTCCTCTGTGTTTTCGAAAAAAATTCGTGATGAAAGTGCGTATAAAAATAACCTTGATTAATAAACAAATTAATAATAATTTACAGTATTACGTTCCTCAAATTTTTTATAACAGACCAAGTTCGTCCTACATCCAATCATCATTACAAACCATTTTACACATTTCACAAAGTTTCCTTCTCCGAAATCTTCCCACATTCAATAATTATAAACGTTTAATCATTGTTCTGGCCTTTTTGTTTTTGATTTATTGATTTATTTTAATAATCATATTTGTTAAAACGGGCCAATGACTGATTTTGTGTGACAAAAAAAGAAAAATTTTTTCCCCTACACGGAAAAATGGTGTGTGAACAAGGAAAAACAAAAATTAAAAAAACTTGCACTTATTCCATTGGCTCAATAAAGAAGTGCATGACAAATCTTCATTGTATCATTCATCTTTTTTTAATTACTCCAAGAAAATTCTTACCCCTTTATTTTTTTACACCTAAACCTTTAAAAAATTTTACCTTTCATACTTTTCATTTAAAGTAATCAATTTGATTCATCATTCTTGTTTTCTCACCTGAATGATAAAGGAGAAAATGGAAATGTCAAAAGATCCCAAAAAAAAAAAAAAATTATATAATCGAGGGATTGCGCCTTCACCCCTTTTATAATTAATAATCAGTTCATTGACAAAAAGACGTTTTGGTGAGGAAATGAGAAGCAAAGAACTTTATAATTTACTCCGAGTTAAAAAAAAAGTAACTTAGAAAGGTTAAGATGGTTTAGAAATCAAAAACAAGTAATAAAATTTGTGTTCCGAGAAGTGGCCCGTGTGTCTTCCACCGTCTTTAAACATATTTCTAAAAAAAGAATCCTATTTTAATTGTACATACATTTTGGTGTTCAAGAACTCCGAAATTTTTTTTTTTTTTCAATGGAAACTCGCGTTAAAGTATTTTCTTTTTTTGGGAAATCATTCCCAACGTTCCATTTTGATTTTCCATTTATTCGACGTGGCTTGTGTGGCACGCACCTTAACTTAGGTTAAATTCCGATAAACGCTTTTACGCCCGAACATGTAGTAATCGAAGGTGGCTGGTTTATTCGTCATTCAAATGGATCTTTCTTGCATGGATTAATGGATTTACGGTTGATTGAAGATCTTTAATGGGTACTTGTGGAAATTCTCTGATGCAGCCACACGCATCCGATCCGCAGCGTGGCGCAACCAAGAAATTGTTGTCGAACAAGAGCTGCGCGGTAATTTAAACATTAGCCCAAAAGTAGATACGATTTTTATTTATTATAATTTCCTTTTTAAAGTAACCAAGAATCTTTACAAAAAATCATTCACGCTCATGTTGGAGAAACAAACGTAACAGAATCGATTGTCTCAGAGGACGTACTGTTACATTCATATTCTTCCGCCGAGAAAAAAAAAATAAAAAAATTTTTATTTCTTTTGCTTATTCGATTGATTTGCACCCGTTTCTTTTTCTTATTACCTCATTTTTTTTTTATTTCCTCCTTTGGTCTTTAACTGCTCATGATAATTGGTGCGATTATAAATATAGTCGAAAAAGAAAAGAAAATTGTATTTTTTTTGTTTGTTGTTTACTATATTGTGTTCCAGAATGTGTAAGAAGATGTATTAAAAAAAATTTGCCATGTGGAATTCTTAAATTGTTGTCATACAAATGTTATTAGGTGAGTGTGTCCCTTATGGATCATCTAATGCGAAAATACATATGCTGCACATTAACATAATTTATTTGAGATAACGGATAAACACCCTATAACAAAAAATAAAACGGTCCAAGAATAGTCAAATGAGAAATCAACCAAAGACGTAATGAAATGAAATATGTATGTCATATAAATTTTTGTTTCAGCGATCATTTTAAAATAAATTAAAAATTTAAAAAAAAAATAAAATGATAGAATGAAAAAAGTTCAAAGTCAAGTATGCGCATAATTTATTTTAAAACATTTTTACACAACGCGTTTTTTTTTTTTTTTTTTGTATTTTTTTTGTATTTTTTTTTTTCTATTTTTACGAATCAAAGAAATCATTTCAACAAACGCCATACGGTGGTATTTTCTACCCCAATCCGAAATGTTTATTATGTCACAAAAAAAGTTACCATAATAAAGACCATGAAAGATTTGAACGATAATAAACATTTTGTGTCATCAAATAAGTTTAATGATAATGAAAGAAAAAAAAAAAAAAAGGCCAAACCGGAATTTGTAACAAAATAATTATTAAAATTCTTATTTTGTTGATGAACCAAGCTGCGTACAATTACATTTTTAACATTTTTACTATTATGTATAAATAACCATTGTTAAGAAAATTAAGAAAATTAAGAAAAATAGTATAATAAAAAAAAAAAAAAATTTTTTTTTTTTTTCCTGATTCGATTTGATAATGCAAAAAAAAATTTTTTTTTTATATTATTCATTCTATATTATTCGATTATTAAATATTATACATGATATTTATATACATTATATTGTATTTTGAATTACACATATAAATAAAATTATATAAGAGGAGGACATAATCATCATTACCTTTTTAAAAAATCATTAAAAAAAAAAAAATCTTTTTTGAATTGAACCGATAAAACCCCTTTGCTCTCAAATAAAATTAATATTCATTCACCTTTTTCAGCCCATATTCATACATTATCGATACAATTACTGATATCAAACAGATTTTTTTTTTTTTAATATAAATCAACCGAGTTTTTTCTCAAATCGAAAAGAACAAAAAAAAATAAAAATAAAAAAAAAATAAAGAAATCATAATAATCATTTTCTTTGCAAACCTTCCTCAATCAATCAATCCTTCTTTTCATACCTCAAATAATAATAATAAAGATGTCTCAACAAAAACAAAGTGGGGTTACGACCACAAAGGAAAGTTCCATAATAACGATGACAGCAAACAAGATATTTGAGAATTTAATCGAGAACATCGTTTTGTTTTTTATGGCGGTGTTCGTTTCACTTTGCGGGTTGAACGGTCTCTCTTCCTCCAACAGCTCAAACTCTAAAGTGGACGGTAGAACTCCTTCCGGAACGTCTTCGGGAATGCAAATCCATCATTTGATTTTCCTTCCCCAACAACGCAAATCTCTCTTTTATAACATCGTTAAAAATCATTCTTCAAAGCAAGATCCCAGCCAATCACTTGGTATAAGTAACCGTAAACAACAAACACATCATAAGCATCACAGAAAAGTCTCTTCTATCAACTACTAAATATTTTTGAACGTGGAAGGTTTCGAATCGTAATTTTTAATCGCTATCCTTATCCTTATTTTTTTTTTTTCTTTTGTACAGATGATCATAATATTGTAGATACATAATTAGGGGTTCTCTTTTTTTTTTTTCGTTATTTTTTATTTTTTTTTTGATTTTGATGGACATTTTTCTTTTTTTATTTAATCTTTCAATTTTACGCATTAATTTAGCATTCAAACATAACAAATCGCATTGTACAGTTTTACATTTTAGTTGATTTATTTTGTTTAGTCATAATGATACTTTATTCTTTCTTCTTTTTTTATATAATAATTTAAAAAAAAAAAAATCTAAATAATAAATAATAATACTTCCTCTCTCTTCTTTAATATTTTAATTAATCATGATCCATGTATTTTTTTAATGTGTTTATGAAAAAAGTACTGTAAAATGTAAAGACAAAAATCGCAAAAGTTATTCTAAATGAATTTTCGCTAATACTATCCTTTTCTTTTTTTTTTTAAAAAAAAAAAATTCAATTTAAAGTTTTTTTTTTTTTATTTGGGCAAGATCTAAATTTACTACATAATTATGTAATACATATTGTGAAATTTGGGATGATTGAGTATCCAAATGGCAAAAGATGTTCATTTGATAACCTAAACTTGATTTGGCTATTAATACTACGGATAATAACTTTATAGAAATCTTTTATTTTGTTAAAGTTAACCATTAAAGGCAACCATGCTTAAAAAGTCCTCTTTGAAAAAAAAAAAAAAATAAAAAATCAAAAAATCAAAAAGGTTAAGAAACAATCTTTAAATTAGAACTAAACTATATAAAAACCTTATTTTAATGAATCAATCTAAATTAATCACTATTCTTTACCTTGATCTGTCGAATCCAATTATCACTTAAATACGTTACAATGATAACCATTATATGTCTCACATAATACTAATGTTCAACCTAAACGGTTTTGTTCCGATGATTCCTTGAAT